TTTATTTTCCTTAGATCATCTAACAACAAAGAAAACGAACAACTACACATATCTATACTGATAAGTGAATGTAGACTGGAGGTAGGTGCTATAAGTGATCACTGGGGTTGGATTGATCTTGCTTGGTAGAATTTGATTCAGCTGTCCAGGGCAACAGATCCTGCAATGTAAAGGAAATTCTTCGGATAATAACGAGAATGGCTGGAGTCGTAAAACTGATTGTTCCTTGGCACTGTTACATTTGGAGGGACAGCCACGCTGATCGTATGGGTGGAGACAGTCCTTCATTGTGCCTTTGTTTTCATCGCCTCGACAGGGACGTGCAAATGTACAGGACACATTGGGATAACTGTTTGCTCAGTGTGCGGTGTGTTTTGAATTCTCAAGTACTACTGGAAAAGTCTTCGCCGTTGATCAATCCCTTAGTGGGATGCGGCACGCATTCTACTTCCATTCAGAATCGTAGTGGGTTATTAAAGACAGCTCCCGCGATAAAAGTGTCATGGATAGTTGCTTTTCAATTATGAAACAGTAGCTGATAAGTAATCTCCCAAAGAAGAAAAAAAAAGCAAGAAGAGTCCTCGCCATAAACAAAATCGCTCCCTCACAGTCACACCTCCCTGCGGTCTCTGTGCAACCCCTAGCTCACAAATCTCTCTATCACATCTCGCAGTAGTTGATATCATCCAGTGCAAAAAAAAGAATACAAAAAACAACAAAAACGCAGAGGAAAAACTCTTGGAAGGAAAAAGAAATTTCAAAAACTCGGTGTCCGAATTTGGGGTTACGGTAGCGCACATTTTAGTGTAGTGAAGTGCGTCGAGCTTTTGCACCACGAAAATTGCGTCACTCGTGATTTACGCGTTTCACCTTGCGAAATGGGTTGAGTTGAATGTATATGCTCCTAATGAATAAAATGTAATAAAGGAGAGCAGAATTATCCATGGGCACGAGCGCGGTCAGCAAAAAGGACATGCAATTCCGATTAATGCCCGCCGCCCCAACTAAGAACAACTGAGTGGCCTCGTCGGAGGGCATCTAGCAAGTAAGGCGGTCCAACTGAGCAGGCGTTAGAACTAGAACTTTCAGCGGCTGTAGCTCGCTCCTCGCTCGCTGTGGGATAGCTCTAGCTTGAGGGCTGTACTACTTGAACGAGGACGCTACTTGAGCGCGGGAGCTGTCTTTAAGTGCGATGTGGCCTATACAATGACTTGCGGGCCAGCCGATGTACAAGTCAGTGTTTTATCCTCCCAGACGAATCTGGTACCAATTCACCGTCCCCGGAGGGTAGAAGGCTTGGTTGGCCTGGGCGGGAGTCGACCCGGGATTCGAACCCGGGACCGCGCGAATGGTGAGCGCCCCACTTGTCACTACACCGCCTCCGCCTCGGACCTAGAAATGATTCCCATTAACGGCGTGGGTAAACCAGTTTTGATGTGAAAATGCAATATCATCCGTTGAATGATTTAGCCTTGTTTCTGGGCTTGGACAAACTGGATTAACCCCTCCGGAAATGCTTAATAGGACATCGAGAAGACTCACAGAAGGGTCCATAAAAATTTGGTTAGCACTCGCAAAGGGAGTCACTAGAGATGGAGGAGGGGGAGGACGAGACACATACACGAGATAGTAGCAAGTTGTGCCGCTTAAAACCATAAAATCTTGTATCCAAAGTCAGCCCCCTAGTCAACTTCAGGCTACAGGCTAATTGGTACCGCTGATCAAACCCTCCCATTCTACGTCCATTCAGAACTAGAGGCTTATTGAGTGCGATGTAGCTCACACAATGACTTTTGAGTGCCGTCCGATGTTTAAATCAGGGTCTTATCCTCCCAGACGAATCTGGTACTGATTTCCCGTCCCTGGGGGAGGGAGAAGGGGGTGTAGAAGGCTTAGCTGCCCTTGGGGGAGGAAGGAAAACCGGCCTCTTATCGCTACAGCTGGCAATAGCAGGCAATAAATCAGTTAGGTCTCAATGGAGGTAGAATGTAATATTTGCAGTTTCCGAATGTTAAGTAGTGCACGGCGAGCTTCCTTCACGAGCAGTCTATTCTTCATATGTTCATAGGTGAAACCCTTTCTGAGCTAGCTATTTACAGAGCTTCATAAATCGGATCAAGAGCACGAGTGAGACAGGGAATGATCCCATCGTCCCACTGGTACATGAAGTAAGAAGTTCGAATTGTTTCGGAAGTTTTTAAATGGGAGCTGACGGCCATGGGGCATCATAATAAAGGACTCACAAGTTAAGTCGTTTTTCTGAAGTAGTTCTTTGTCAATTGTACACATTGGATTTAGAGGAGATCGGGGACCTAAGTCAAACTGTCGGAGGACCAAAAACTGTCAAAATGTACGACAATTCAGGAGGCAAAGAGTAATCTCGCTAAAGGCAGTCGGCGATAAACCTCCAAGACGAGTGCGATTAATGCACCTGGCAGGACGGAATTCCGCGAGCCTGAGCAGGCGCTGTATGAGCCTTTTCCAAGGGAGGTGTCCTAATAAGGGTCCTATCGAGCCACAACATACGAGTACCAACGCCGCACCCACCGCCGCCCGATAAATGGACTTCTTCGTTTGCGGTTTTACATTGTCAAGTCATGCCTAAGGAAACTCGTAACATTGACTTTTTAACACGTGAGAAGCGGAGGCTATTTTTGCAGGATTCGCACTTCTCCCACTATATCGTGCCCTACTGGCATTTTAGGCCGATCGTCAAACCAGTTGCCTTCAAGAGTCGTCTCTTTCTTTGCCTTGATTCGCTTACAATTAGATTTTCAGGGCAGTTGATCTTTAGGTAGCCACATCACCTCATAAAAGTTTGATGCTTTTTTCCATACTGGGAAGGAAAGCAGCGGATATTATTCGAAAAAGACTTACCTAGGGCTAGTCATGGCCTTATCTGCGATGACCTTCGGTTCGATTGAGTTGTATATGCAGCCGTCGCCACAGCTCACGTCCTTCAGGGCTGTCACTCGAATTTGGATTGTTTTACCTTTTGGTGCCTGAAATCAACCCGAATCGAAGCGATCTCTCAGAGAAATTCTGTCATCAATCTACCGTAATCCAGTCGTTGCACTGCGTGTAAGTTTCGCGTATAGTCGTTATGTTTTTATTACCAATTGTAATACTTCTCGCTTTCCAAGCGGTGGTAGCCGCAAATGTGCCTCCACATCCTGCCTTCTGAAATATTTACCATTACCAACACCGAAAATGTTGTTTTAAGGATTAAACAAACGGAAGTGATTCATCAAGGAGTGAGCCACCTACCCGTTGCCCACACAGCCTTCCACCGTAGCCACTCGGACAGAGGCATAAATTGCAGTCTCGCGGATTTGGAGCTCCTCCGTTCGTGCATTTACCGAAGACTCCGACATTATAACAAGGAGCTGAAATAGTAAACGACCTAGCGCTTTCTCCTTTCTCATAAAAATAAGATCAAGGAGAAGTAACACTCTTCAGCATAGGCTATTACACTATTTTATAAAATTGTCTTGTGAAGTTAGAGAGGCTGCAGAATGCTCTCAGCGTATACTCCACTTTTCAGCGGCCCTTACCGTGCCAGATTGGGGAAGGATATTCAGACGATCAATTGCCGTGGCCTCTTCCAGAAGATAGCAGTGCTGGCAGCATGAAATTTCGACAACCCCTTCACTTGGTTGTTGTGGTTCAGTCACTGAATGCTTCTTCCCTCAATTTCGGTGCTCACCACCGCTTTGGGCCCAGTTCGGCGACGGGAGGGGGGGCATTTTATACAAAGCTTACAAGAGTTCACAGGTTTCACTAGAGTGGGCTCGGAAACCGAAATTAGTGAAACAACGAATAAGGAAAATGCCCCCTCCCCTCTCCGGTTGAACTGCGCCACCGATTGGTATGCCAACCCCATCCTTCCTATGCGATGTACCCACTCTCGTCCTCACTGTCACGAAAGATAACTCCGTCTCTGCTCAGCAGAACTGAAATATCACGATTTGTTTCGTCTCATTAGAATCAGCATCAATCCTTTAGAGCTTCGGGAAAGCCTCCATGATGGTCCAGAAAAAAAAACTCAGTCATAGGGAGTACTCATGTACTCCCGAGACGCACGGAAAAGCGCGAAGGAGACTTTGCGAACTCGGTCATTTGCTCGATTTTCGCCAGAAGCTCAGGTGATTCCACGAGGCAGTGCCAAGGTGACAGGTCAACTAGCTAGGAAATAGTAATTTCATTTGCGCACAATACCATGACTAGGATGTCTTGTAACCTGTACTCTCGGTTACCAGGCTGAATTAAATGTAATTGGTGTTATGAAAGAAGTAGTCACCCAAACCGACGTTCATACTTCATGGAACGCGGTATGAAGGATTGCAGCTTACTGCGACCCATCGCACTCACCGCTAATCGTCGAAGCGCTGAACGCTGCAGTAAAAACTTGTCATGAATGTGATTGAACTATCAGTTACAGCGATCCACGGGGATGCAATGGTCGGCCACTGTTGCGCTACTTCCAACTAATTCTGTCGAAACGCTGAGTTTGCGCACTACGAAGGCGCCCTAAAGGTTTGTCACTCAAGCAGAAGACTCCTGAAAATTGGAATGGGGCCATAATCTCAAAAACTAGGGAGAGGCAAATCCAGCTGATACCCACCATTGCACTTGTAGAACAAATTGATCATCCTAATATCGTAGAAACGAGATTGTTCTTGAGCCCATCGTACGCTGGTATTTCCACGTCTTGGCTATCATTGAATTACCTTTCGTTGCAAATCTGAATTTCGATATAAAAACTCTTCTAAATCCTAAGAGAGGGATGGACAAAGACTGCCCTCATGATAACAATAGGTAAAAGTGACTAACGCGCCGGCGAAGTAATGCATATCGCTACCATATTCGTATGGCGTAAGGTTGATTGTTTTTGTCTCCTTTCCGAAGTTTCCTCGATATTCAACCTGGAAAATCTTCCACTTTGCAAAGTAACTACACTGCTCAGAAGACAGACAGGAGCAGTGGTGCAGCAAGTTACATACTTGCTCTGGGATTAAATCAGATCTGACCGGAGGTGAGAAAACGAATAACACCGAAACAACGATAAAATCTCAAGGTAGCTGATGAATTACCGGAACGTTGGTGAGATTGACTGTAACGTAAGTATTCCTGTCATGGCGCATTTGCGTGTGCAATACGCCGAGAGCGTGTGCGAACTCATGCGCCACAGTGCCCATCTATAAAAATTAGACAATAAAAAAAATAATACTGATTTCATCATCAGCAGTGAATATGACCTTCCAGTGTAAGACCGCTCCTATAAAAATTAGACTATAAGAAAAAATATTTTGGTTTCATCATCAGCAGTGAATGTGCCATTCTTGCAACCGCTCCAACGGGCAATACTCCTATAGGACCGACTCGATTCTCCCCCCCCCCATGCGGACTGGATAGGGTCCTTTACATTCCGAAAAACTTGGACTGGGAAACTGGGAAACTTACATTTTCGGAATCGAAAAACAACATTTTTTGATTTTACCGAATATGGTTACCACTGTCTGAAGGAAGGGCCCGCGATGACCTATGAAAATGCAAAAGGTTGTGTGGGAAAGGTAGTGGACTGCACAGGACGACCTCGTGCCAGTTTCGCAGCGGAATGTTGTAGGATAGGGAGAGAGATGAGGCACAGAGTTGCTTCTGTGAAACTTCCCTCATTCTCCGCCTCCAGACCCCGCCCACGACGTCTGCCTTCCAGACGAAAGCAGTACGATACCGAATAACCAGTCTTGAATGGACGGCTCTACTGTTCCTTGAGAGATCATTGGGCTCTTCAAAAGGAATCTGTTGACTGGACTCGCCCCCCCCCATGCGGTCTTCTGGCCTTTTACCCATAAAATTGTTTGGGGTTTAGGGATCCTGTCAGAGGCGCTTTAGACGTTCCTTTTATCATCTTCTTTCTACAGACGAGTTCCTTGACAAGCACTGTTGACTATTTCGACACCATTACCTATGCTCCCCATCGCGGGCCGTGCTTTTACTGGCACAGGAAGGGGAAATGGTGAGCGAATACGTACTAAAATATGCGGTTATGCAATATGAATTGCAGTGGGATAAAGACACTGTCAGGATTTGTTGGGACGGAGCCAAGAAAAGGAAAAAGAGACTAGAGAGATTCTGCAGCACGGTGAACGGCTGACAACGTGACCCAGGCAGTTGCACCGAGATAAGGTAGATAAGGTAACAGCGATTCACCCGGTCTTCGAAATCCTCCTTGTAAAGACAGCATGAGCCCCCCTCCCTCCTCATCAAACCTTTTATGGCCTTTAGCAAGAGCTTTAGTGCTGTACATTCAACGTGCGGCATCTAGCAAAGGGAGCTAGTTCAACTGAAAAGCAACATCATCCTTGGAACAGCCTTAAACTAGTCCTGCGTCCAAGTAGCGAAGCCCTTGTCACGGCTCCGCTTATAACGCCTTCACCCTGACAAAGGAAGTATGGAAGGTCGAAAGGGCCCATTTGAAATGGGATGTATACCTAATGAAAGGTTTGACGGAACTACGAACCCGTCTTACATACCTGCTGCGGACCTCCCATAACAAAGTTACGGGGCCTTTCTGTATTAGGGGCGTAAGGCCGTGGCCATCAAAGCAGCGAGACTGTTTGAATACGTCGTTGGTCCCACTAACACACTGTCGATAGTCCGAATCACTGATGCGTAGGCTTTCCTGCGTTTTTTCCCAAGTGGTTGTTGTGCACCCAAAAGCAATTTTGCCTATCCTGTGCTTGATAACGTCGTCAAGGCATGCTTCTGATATCCTATCATTTTCTGGCGATGCTGTCATTTCAAAGCCAGGCCGTGGGAGCCTCTTTAAGTATACTCATCTTCGCGCCAACTTCGTGGGTTTCGGGATAAACCACGTCTTTAGGAAGCAAGGTCTTCAAGGCAAAAGAGGCCCCGCAGCTCTGTTCTGGACGGTTCACAGCAGATATGGAAGGGTTACGTGACATCTTGAACTTTTGTGCATGGTCCTGTTACGAAACCCTGTAACGCAGACGGATAGAGGGCAGCGGCTGCCAAAGCATCGAAACGTGCAAAAAACATATGGCGAGCCAGGAAACGGGCTTTTTCAAGGGGAGGGGACTCCGGGGTGGATGAGCTACTTGTAATCGGTGAAAAGCTGGAATGTGCGAATTCTCAACGGCCATAGAGTGCCATGCGGACGAAGAGTGAGAGAAAAACATAAATCGACGCGTTAAAAACTTGGGCTCTAGTGTGCTTAGATCCATATGGAACGCGTTTCGTATCTCATGGCAAAGTCCTTCCACGTCCGTATCATCTCATCTATGAGGCAGTCCACTCAAATTACATCTATAGGCAACGTAACGAAAAATTTTTTGGGTTTTTTGGGGTAGGAATAGTTCAATAGTGCCTGTTAGCCAAACAAAAGTTACTCACAATCAAGCAAACCAGGAGCCAGTGATAAATCTTGTGCGCTGCCGACATATCCGAACAAACGAGATAGTCAGGCCGGAACCGTCGAACACTCTTATACGAGACTTTGCCGTGGCACTCTCAATAAAAGTGATGCATGTACGAGCTTGAAGATATTTCAGCGTCGTTCTAATAAATGACTTGTGAGCAGCAGCTGGAATTAAATGTATGAAGATGGCTCATGCTGGACCACGAAAAAGACCTACAATAAGTTTGGCATCGAGAAGTATAATACACTTTGTTGTTTGTCGCATTTAGATGGGGCAGTAACGGAGATTTTTTGCTTTGTGGATGGCGGGATTCTGGCGTCAACGGCTCGTATTATGGTCTAAACACACACAAACAAGTTGGTCTCTGAATAACGATATGATTAAAAAAGAAGGCATATTCGAGAAATAAAAGGCCCTTTGTTCTTATCATACACCAATATTCCAGGGGCACCACCATAGGGTCCCGCTATGCCGCGACTATTTCCTATAAGGGTAGCCTCAATGGTTAAAAGCTCTGAACGATACTCCTCACGTACTCAGTGAGGATCATGTCGCCGTCATACAAGTACTCGTCGATTCCTTCAGCATGATTTACTTCTTGGATTGGCGCTACACCACCGATTGCTGATTTCAGTCCTCCAGCTGCTGCCTTGAACGGGAACGCTTAGAATTCCAGAAGAACACCAACTTTTGACAGCAAAAGGCATCTCACGTTTGTAGCCGTTGCAGAAATTGTTTTCCCGTTCGTTGAGGCAGTGGACTTTCCTGCTCCGGTGCTCAGCCCCAAACCTTTCATGCCAAGCATTCTCAACCTCTCGTGACGCTTTTCAAGATCGATTCCTTTGAATGCCTGAAAATAAGGCTCATCTCGAGAAAAGAACTTGAAAAAAAAGGAAAAAAAGAATTTTGGAAACTTGCTGCCTGAGTAACCTCTTCATTTACTCAGCAAGCAGGCTAGGACGCGGTCAATTCAAGCAGTGTGAGTTCATTTTGACTTCAATAGTACAATAAAAGCCTAATGGCGACTGGTCTAGTGTAGACCAATAACATTATTGGTTGTATTGGATCAGTAGGCTGTTAGCAATTATTAACTAGCTGATATTGCAGGCTCCATATTTTTCAAAAAATAGAAGTAAAATGTAGACAATTTCCTGAAAATAAAAGAAAAAATATTTACATACAAACGTGTTTGTAATAAAATGCATTTTTTATATTATAAAAATATAATCAACTTTTTAGAACAGAATTTCCCTCCTTCCCTTACTGAAGAGCACAGAGGAGGGAGAATGACCTCGTTCAGTTTCCGTCTAAGGGCACGTGCGAAACGGAAACTGAGCTACTTCTTTAGATTGACCCCCCCCCCCCCCTTAATAAATTCAACAAAATGATAAAGTAATCAGCCTTCAGTAACCAGTAACTTTGAAATTTTTGACTTCGAAATTTTTCGGTTCTGGAACAAATGCAGAGAATTTCTTGAGAAACACATTTTCACTTCATTTTTTATTTCGTTGCTTAGGGGAAACTTAGGGTCGAGTCATGAGCTTTAAAATGTTTATATACGCTTTTTTATCGACTAGCATAGTGTAGGTTCAGAGATTTATTGCCAAAGGCGGAGGTATTATACACATTAAGCTAATCGCAGTTTGCAAAGCTGGGCGCAGTTCGGCGACGGGGAAGGGGGCATTTTGCACTTTCGTTGCTTCACTAGTTCCGGTTTACAAGTCTCACTCTGGTGAAACCTGTGAACTCTTGTGAAGCTGGAGCAAGCTCGTCAAGCCATCATGGTAAAACCTGTCAACTCGAGAAGAGGCTGTCTAGATAGGTCGACACGTCGATGGGAAGTAGTAAAAGTGCAAATGCTCTTCCCCGTCGCCGAACTGCCCCCTAATGCTCACCCTTTAGTTACAAGTTTAGTTAACAGCAGCAGCTTTATCTCATACGCACCCTTGTCAAGGCAGCTCTGCCTTTCTCAGTAAGGCAGAGGCTGGAGTCGAATAGCACCATGAGCAGGAGCAGTTTGATCATCATTGTGACACTGCAGACCACGTCAATGCTGTAATACAAAACTTTTTATGAACAAGTTATCATGTATTCGAAGAATAATGGAGGTGCAGTTCACGCCGATCGTGTAAGCTCTGCGGGACCAGTTAACCATTGCACCTTCCTTAGGCGTTCACACTTTGCCGCAGCGTCTAGCAGCGTTTACCCATGACCAGTAGCGCTTGAAGCGTCCGGCAGCGTCAGTCATTAGGAAAGAATGGATATAGACCTAGTATGTGCCAGGGTCTACCAGCGTCTGCCAGCGTCTTGAGGGCTAGGGTGGCGTAGGTACCGATATGTACATCTGCCATCGTGACCGGTGTTCACCAGCGATCACCAGCAACCGGAACTAGAGCGTATGGGGAAGTAGGAGGGATCAGGCGTCGTGAAATTGCGGCGTGTGTAGCCACAGCGTACAACTGCTAAAGCTCAGAAGTATGTAGCTCAATGCACGATGTAGTGTAGTTGTGCTGTGAGGTTGCACACGCAGCAATTCACGACGCCCAGTCCGGCTCTTTGCTACCCTCCTGTTACCCCACAGTCTCTACACCCAGTTCCCGGTGAACGCTGGCAAAAGCTAGCTATCGATACCTATACTTTCCTAGTCGCTGACGCTCCCGGACGTTCAGAACACTTGTGGCCGCTAATGGACGACGCTGCCGCAAAGTATGAACGCTGGGCCCCACTCTCAACTCTTGGAAAGGAAGAGAGTTCCGACCAGAAAGGTGCAATGGCTCTTGATATCTCTTTGTAGGAGTTCAATTTCTAGAACCAATGTTATGAGGGTGGCCGTGTAATGCCAGAGAAGAAGTCAAGCGGTAAGTTTGCAAATCAAAAACAAACTTTTGATGAAACTACAGAATGCGGTAAGGATTACCCTCACGCCTTTATATAGTACTCAATCTTCCTAGTAAGATCAAAAGACCAAACGGACTCTCCATCATTGTTATGTGCTCTGCAAAACGTTTCGCGCAGACATTTTGAGATGTAAAGCCCCATGTGTCGCTTTCAGATTAGGCGTTTGACTTCTGTACTACACAGAGATTACACGTGAATGATTGCGCCAGAGGTGTGACTTTTATCAAGTCAAAGGTCAATTTTTCAGGCCGGCTGTTCTTTTCGACCATAAACGATTCAGTGAGGATTTCTATGAGTGCGGTTGCGTTATGCTCATGACCAACTTTTTCAAACTATTAGCTCGTACTCAGGGACGCCTGATATGCGCAGAAACACATAATTCATTTAGTATTCTTTCAATTTGCCCACTCTTGCGCATTGTGCCCCGCATGCGACTTTCCTTAAAAACCAGAAGGGAGGACACAGTTCTTATCAAAAACTGTATATCTTTTGATATC